CCTTCTCTAATAATATATGAACTCGGCTAAATGTAAATCGTATATAGTTATGAGGCAACAAGCATTACATCTGAAATCGCAAATGAAGCAAATATCCAGTTAAACAGACATGGACTATTTATTTCAAGACTTTGTTGTATAAAAAGTCGAAATACTATAGCTGGTCTAACCGGTTCGTCGAATATAAAATACGCTAATCTAATACTTGAACCTTTGGACTCAAGAGACCAACGTCTTAACAACTGCATGCTTGACTAAGCTATTGTTCTTTATTAGACTTAAGCCCGTTTACACTACACTCGATTTATTGGCACGGCACGGAAGTAGCCTACCAATTCTCATTCAGACCGTTTTTACGGCTATCAACTTTCCCGTCTCAGTAAGATGAGTATTCGGCCATTCTTAATTCTTGTACTTTTTTTCTTCAGTTAAACCTACTTGAAATGCATTGTTAATTCATGTACTTTACTTTGACTTCAGTTCATTAGAAATACAAAACAATCGCACCGTAACCATTAGCTTCACTTGAGCCGCATATAACCAACTTATGGAAAGATAGTGCTTTACGGCGCCGCATATCTGTATGCGATATTTTAGCGAGTCAGAACTCAGAACACAATTGGCTAATATTAGGTTACAAGCTACGAATAAGATACAGTTGTATGCGTTTTAGACGAGAAAATTAATCAAAAACCATTAAAGTGAACTTATTGAAATTGTTATTTCATTTGAGCTCCTACCAAAAAGGTATGAAGTAATATAAAAAAGTATAGCTTTTCAACGCAGGTTCGTGTGGTGTACTGGTGAAGGCAGTGCTCTCCGAGTTTAAAGGCGGAGGTTCGAGTTCGACCTGGGGATGTTTTTTTCTTCTATTTCATCAAAGATCCCTCCAAAAAAGGATTAAGTAAAATAAAAAACTGTTGGCTTTCACCACAAGAACTGGTGGTGTAGTGGTGAAGACGGTGATCTGCCAAGTATACAGTCGATGGTTCAAGCCCTGGATAAACCGAAAAAGAACAAGGTAATAAAGTGAGAATTTGTGAGTGTGAGAGGAGTAGAGCGAGAGGGCAAATATGCCCTCGCCTTGAGCGAGGAGTAGACTGAGGGGGGTCGTCTTTCCCCCGCCTTTCCTGACTTTCAAAGCACGCTTTCTTCAAACATTTAATTGTGTTAAGGGATAGTTAGGGATATCTTAGGATAGGAAAAAATAAGGATAGATAGGAGTAAATAGGAGGATAAATAGGGGTAAAGAGGTTTAAATGAGTACAAAAAGACTTAAACATTTTATATACTGTTTTCTCACCTATACCTTTCCCCTTGCCCTGGGAGCCGAGGCCGCCCGCCCAATTACTAAGTCTTTTTGTACTCATATACCCCTCATTCACCCTATCTATCCCCTGATTTCCCTAAAGATTAACTTTGATTTCCAAAGGTTAACTGAATATAAACCTTCCTAGAGCAACAAACCTACCTTTTTTTTCCCTGGTGGCGTGGCACGAGTACCATCCTGTTCTTGATACCCCGATCTTGTACTTGGTAGTCCACGACTTTACCACAAGGCTAACTGGTGATTGTTGGAAGCCTACACTAACTTATTCTCCTTAACCTTACCATGTAATATTACTGATAACGAAAATTTGCATCTAAAACGAAATTCGAACCTTCGACTGTCGACACATAACAACAACAACTTGACCACTAGACTACAAGATCTTCTGCTGAAAGGTTGTGGTTATTTAATTTACTTTATCCTTTTCACGAAGCTCATAATGAAAAACGGTTACGGTAGGATTCGAACCATCGATTTACCACTTGCGAGACCATTGTCTTAGCCACTAGACTAGAAGATCTTGTGCAACGGCGATCGTTATTTAATTTACTTTATCCTTTTCGTGAAGTTCATAATGAAAAACGGTTATGGTAGGATTCAAACCATCGATTTACCACTCCGGAGACCATTGTGCTCGCCATTAGACTACAAGATCTTGTACTGAACGGCTATGGTTATTTAATTTACTTTATCCTTTTCACGAAGTTCATAATAAAAACGGTTATGGTAGGAAATCGAACCATCGATTTACCACTTGGGAGACCATGGTCCCCGCCACTAGACTACAAGATCTGGTGCTGCAAGGCTATGGTTTATTTAATTTTTTAATCCTTTTCACGAAGTTCATAATGAAAAATGGTTATGGTAGGATTCGAACTATCGATTTACCACTTGGGAGACATTTTTCTTAGCCACTAGACTACAAGATCTTGTGCAACGGCTATGGTTATTTAATTTACTTTACCCTTTTCACGAAGTTCATGAATGAGAAACCGGGTTATGGTAGGATTCGAAGCATCGATTTACCACTTGAGATATCATAGCTTGAACCTAATATCAGCCATTTGTGTTGACGCAAAGATATCACAGGTATGGAATCCCTTGAGCATAGGAATATTACCTCACCAGAAGCTAATTATATGTGGCCCAGGTGAAGCTGAAGGTCACGGTGCGATTGTGACGGTCAATGAATTCAAGTCTGATTCCACGGGTCACAAATTAAAATTTCAGAAAAATGGCATTTTATTTGGTAGTTTCATTAGAATGTTTCAACATTCGCAACTAATTTCACAGCTGAAATTCTCTTAATCTCCGTTAACATAAAAAATATTGTCACGTTTGCTCTTTTTCACTCCAGCACTGCATTTATTATAAAATAAAACAGGTTGATTTAGTTTAGAAATGATGTAACCACGTGTAACAATGCCTTTCTGCAGTTCCGCCATTTTTCGGGGTACAATCAGGTGTGCAGTAATCACCTCTACCACCTAATGGGCCGTAACATCCGCAACATGTCTTAAAAAGGAACAAAGGTTCGAATATTCAGGCTATGTTCTTTATAATCATTTTTCACATTGCTTTGAAGTACTTTATGCCTCGGAGATATTTAAAACCATGACGTCATAGGGCCCCAGAAAAATGTTTTGCACTGCGAGCCCACAATTTCTCTCGGCGGCCCAGCATATTATTATAGTAATTGGTACCCTACTGTTTTGCTAACCAGTGCAAGTATGTATGCTTTTCTTCCTAACACCATGCATGGACCTTTTCCAAACATTACTTTCAAAAAATTATTTGAATGTTTGCATGGCGATAATTAATAGTAAATTTATACGACGTTTGTTTGTGGAAACACCTCGTAAATTTAGTTTTGCAAAGCCAAATTCACGGGGTATTTCAACAAGCGAACTTACAAATTTCAATAAAGTGGTTTTTGTGCCTTCCCTAAGTTAGGGTTACGTTAGTACTGCAGTAAAATGCAGGGGAACGTTCTAATTTTCAGTATATTTTCCTCATTCAGGATTCAGGTTTTGGCACATTAGCCATGCATTTTGACTACCAAATAGTCAATTTATTTGGGTTGCACGAAATGCACGAAAACTCCCATAATTACAGCAAATATATATACAATCCAATATAAAAAGGCAGAATTATGATTTTCGTTCCGCTGGGCCGTAATATGCAGTTTTCTGCTGGTCCATCTTAGAAGGACACTAATTCCGATCAACTCAATGCTACTTAACATTTGCTAATTCTACACTCGCACGCGTGCAAACCGTGTAACCTTCCTATCACCGCATATACCTTGTTAGATGAACAACCAACCATTGCAGTGGCAGCATGGTTTACACCTGAATTATTTCCCGACGCAGTAAAGCTGTATGTAGCAAAAATTAGTCACAATGTCTACTGATATGAATATATAATGCAAACTAATAATCCTGAATAGTTAGAAATTATAACTAAGAATGACAAGTTATGTATATAAGGGATTTGAAACAGTGACATAAAGGCAGAGAAAAGATGAACTCCTATGAAGAAGCGGTTAGGACTTAATTAAATATGAACTTGTGTTACCTCTCATTGTTTTGCAACGTGGAGTTTTAACGTTAAAGATGGCAGAAGATACTGATACCACAAAAATTAACTTGCAATTACAGTCGTGCCAATAGAAGCGTTCTGAAAAATATTGACCAGTTCATTTCCTAGCTTGAAGGAACACATATGAACAATTCCTTAACAATTTGAAAAGTTCCTTAAAAAGTCCCTAACTTTCTGTTTCATTGACCAATCAGATTGCTCAACGGCACGACTGTAAGCATTGGAAATTTGTCACTTATCACACTCTCTATCCTGGTAAATGTTACCTGTCGTTGCTTTTATTAAAGATCTTACGAAATACTTGAGAAATACAGCCAAAAGAACCTTGCAGTTTTAATAGCGGACCTTTCAAATTTGGCTTTCCAGAAGTTCATCAACTCGATCTTGGTTTTCGATATGTAATAATGCATGTAACACCGAGCAACAGGAAACCTCTGATGCCACTGACCACCAACTTGCATAGCTACTGAAATCACATCCAAAGCGTGCAGCAGCATTTAAATATGTTTTAAAAATTTAGGGATGAAACTTAAATGTCTCGCTAATCGATCCTAAATTATTTTTTTCAAAAAATATATATAAAAACAACGCGAGAAATAAACGAAAACCTGAACAAACAATATTATTCTATTATTTCATTGACAAAACGTTTTTCGTCGCTTTTCTTAACAAACTAAAATTTTTCATTACCCTTACTTTCGTGCACGATAATTCAAAATGTATAATAAAGTTGATGAAATTTTCATGGTTGACCTTAAATGCATTTCGCAAATGCATTTTGAGTTACATTATAAAAGAAATAAAAAAACATTTTCCTGTGTTTCTATATAGTTATAGAAACACTTGTGGGAGTTTAGGAGAACTGGAATAACTATGATTTCTCGTTCTCCCAAACTCCCACGCGTGTTTCTATTTAACAATTAGACAACGAGTCCGAGTTGTCTATATGAGCGAATAGTCAACGAAGGCGAAGCCTGAGTTGTCTATTCGCTCATACACAACGAAGGCGAGTTGTCTAATTGTTTTAGTATACACCCTGTACCTAGATATATTAATTTCGAGAAAATAATCGATACACCGCAATTACACCGAAAAATAATTCTATTTTATACGGTCGCGCGAGCGAAATTTTCCCAAGCGTGCACCTGCACGAATAGACAATGGTTGCATGGGTAGCCAATCAGAATGTAGGAATTGTAATAGACAATAGTCGGGTGTATACTAAAACTGTATAGAAACACGCAAAATGTTTTCTATTTCTTAAATGGTGACTGCACATTCATACAACTCTTTTTTACATAGAGTAAATTGCTTAGTAATATAGGAATGATAAGGTTTAATGTTATCCTATAAGTTAAAGGAAAACATTTTAGACTGTCAGACCCGTTTAACGGTTCCGCAATAACGATGATTACAACTATCTGTAGATACCAGTTTGTAGATATAAAATAACCCACAGTTTATAACTTGAATATTTCGGCGATGGAAGCAACATCTGCCGGAATAACTGAAGCACACAGTGCGCGTGACTTCTCCTTGACCGACAGAAGGATGCGTTCCATTCAACCACGAAACACCGTGAGTGGAACATTTCAGAACGCTTGTATCATGTCTCGGGATACATGACGTCGAGATTTGTGTTCCCGCATTACCAACAAATCTGTACCATCCCGTTGATATACCTTTATCACACATCGTTGAACGGCCAACATAATTTACGTTTCGATCGTTGTCTGCAAGCGATGTATAACTATTGCATGCACGCTGACTTGTGACTGAAAAGAAGACGGTCGATATAAATATGCAGTAAGACCAGTTCAGGTCGACTTATTTTCTCTAGATCTATAAATACATGCATCCATGCATGCAGAGGCTCTTTAGAAACAAATTTCATCAGGAAAAAGAGCCCTAAATTTCAACCTTAAGCTTCGGGGGATAACACAAACCTTGGCCTTGATAATTTTCGATATTTCGATATTTCGATATACTCAACCAATAATATAACCTATGCCTATATATATAGTTCAACAGCGCAGCAAGTGTTTGAGCAGGTGTTAGTTAAGACAATGTGCAAACCTTATTCCCACTCAGAAATCGGTAACACCAAAGTTAAAAGTTCTACAGTAGGGTTGGCGTTAGGGTTTATATTTATGTAACGTTCATATTTTGTTCAGCACTGTTTAACTTTTAAATTTGTTCGATGTTAGAATAAATTTATGTTTCTCAATTATTTTTAATTGCATGTTTTATTCGTTAATTTTAATATCCACGCGCGCGGGTGTGTATTTTGCTTTATCTACCACGCTGTGCACGACTGCCATATTATAGGATACTGCAGGACACAAGAATTAAGCCGTTTCAGCCACTCGTAGTGCAGTTTAGTAATGTAAAAAACAACGGAAAACTTATATATAGTACTTACACCAAAAGCAAAATCGCATAGGGAATCGTACGTAAATTATGTTTGTTAAATTATGCCTAACGTTAAACTAATGTTAGTTAACCTTTGCTTAGGTTGACCCAGCCAAGCTGTCCATCCTATTAACAAAACAATTAATAATTGTGTTTTTTATAATCAGACTTCATCTATATTAACAGGGCCTGCTGAGTCTTTTTTTAGGTGCAGGGGGTGATTTCGAAGGGTGAAGAATAAACGAGCGAACGCTGGAGGCGTGAAACTTCTAAAGGAGTCCGGGGGCATACTCCCGTGGGAAATTTTTAAAAATAGAACCCCGAAATTCCATTTGCTGCAATTTGGGAGTATAACTAAACGTCAAAAATGAGCGAATTAACACATTTCAGACAAAAATCATAATTGATTCGGTAGATTGCACGTTGCCCGGCGCAATTGTATTTTATATCTCTTCCAGTTTTCAAGCTATTTAGTAATAGAACACCTAAAATGATACTTTAATACGGAGTTTTCAGGATTTTAAATTTAACCCAATTATATATTATATTACCGCATATTTAACAATTATTCGCCGAAGGCGAGGTGATTGATTATCGGGGAATATTTACGGTGACGAAGTCGAGGTGAATATTCCCCGATAATCACAAAACCTAAGGCGAATAATCGTTTTAGTATTTTTGCACAAGTGAATTGACACAAGAACTGAACTCCTTTTGTTCGCTTATCTCTGTACGAAACGTGCACAAAACGGCTAGGCACCATTTTGAAATTTGTTATATTCACCTGAAGGTGAATATAACAGCATAATACGTCAAATTTGACCAATCAGAAGGCAGGATTTGTTATAATTATTCACTTGTGGAAAAATACTAAAATTCTATATTCGGAGTACCAGCTTATTAAACTGGTACTTTAAATTATCCTTCTTAGCAAAAAAGTGGGGCCCTTGATTAGATTATGTAGTTGGTTGATAAAAATAAAAATAATTGCCATATTGTTTCTCTCGAATTGAGGAACACTGATCTAAATAATGAAAACTAAACCGCATGAGCCCACACATCTCACTGCCTACCGGCCTGCATTTTTGGCCATGGATAGTACTATTACTCACGTCGTAAATTTATGTAACTGTATATCCTGTCTTCAGACTCCTTAATTCTTAACTTTATCTGTAAAACAAAACAATTTAATCAATAACTGTTTTAATGAAATGAAATTATAAATTTGGAGTAAAAGTTATGAAAGAGGATTCGAAGTTCCAAATACTAAGGTTGAATGAAACTAGGCTACACCAAACAACGAGAAAGTATAGAGCGATTGAAAAACCATGACTATCCGATGGATAGCGCTATCCGGCTTTCGTACAACCGGCCCCAGTGCATTATTCAACATTTTTATACCACTTATAGATGACTGATTACCTACCATTCGGTTTTGTTCATAAAGTCTTTGCTCATTGTCAGTTTTTAACTTCTGAATTATCTCTGAAGTTTCTTCTAGGATCTAAATTGGTGTGAATTGAGGATGTAAAGAGGATAAAAGGAGAGACTCAGTGTATTAGGTGACGCTGTAGTAGTTAATTATTACACAGTAAAATAACATAAACTTAATTCGAATTTTTTGTGAAAATTATAGCTTTTGCATCTGTGATGATTGCTTAGACGCCACTAGTAATAGAGACCCCGTCGTTACATTTGTAGTGCATCCCAAATCCCCAAACTAATTAATTTTCTCACTGCCTTAATTGTATTTTCTAAATAAATCCCGATTCCTATTGTATTGTTCATATTTTACCTTTTTCTCCCTCGCAATAACTTCCCAACTTCCATTTGATCGAATGGAAAATTCCTTTTTATCCACACGATATTTGAGCAGCCCAGGAACACCAGGCGCTTTCTTATCTATCGCCGCGTCGGGAACAACGACAACCTTAAATGAGGCTTTCATTGTAAGTATAGAATATACATCAACAAATTCGTCCCAGTGATTTTGATTGTGACCACAGTCACGCTTTCGTCGATAGCATTAAATCTATAGAATGCGTCAATAACATGCACCTTACCTTCATGCACTAGCTACTTTTACAACTTACGGATATTGCAATTAAAATTCTGTTTTATTCATGCACGGCTTTTTTCACCATGCAGTATATACAAGGTGAGTAAAAAAAAACTGACACATTTGAAATTCAAATTAGCCGCGAACTTATGGCTGGAATTTGACAATTCCCATGCATGTATACAATCAACAGGCGTTGTTAATTAATGCGAAAATGTTTAAACCAATTGAACTAACTCAACGTGGCCCTTGTGATAGAAAAACGATTTGATAAAACTTTTCTTTTTTATTTACAGAGCTTAGAATGCATTTTAACTCACAATGAGCTCACGTATTTGATATGCTTCGTATACCCATGAGATATTTTAGGCAATATCTGTCTCATTACAGCCGCTATGCGGCTAATTTGAATTTCAAAGATGTCAGTTTCTTTTACTCACCCTGTATAGTGCATGCATGCGGTGTAGATAATTCCAATCAAATATGCATACTATATGATATAAGATGTTAAGTATATATATATAGAATGGATTTTGCAATGCATATGTATATAAAAAAATAAGAAAAAGTGAAAAGATGAAAGAAAATACTTACACCTTCATTTAGCAAAGCTTTGTTCTTAGGACAACGACCCTGCAAAATATGAATGACGACTATTATAGGGAAACTATTAAATGCTAAATTGGTTTCTTTAATTGTCTCCCTCCATTTTACTTCATGCATTTCTTTTTGCACCCAAAGGAAAATTTTTTAGTTTGATTCATAATAACTTTTTAACCAGTGAAGCCATTCCACTGAAATAACTTTTATTAGATGGAGGGACACATATACACAATAGACAGGGACTGGAAACGCTGTGATAAAAGCGACGATGCTCGCGCTTATAACCGTGGTGTGGTTAAACACGTAGTAATTATCTGTTGCCCAGACAACCTCTTATATTTTTGCCATTCGGTATTTTTAATTTCTAATTTTGATTTACAGTCATGGTTTACATCACTGTAAAAAAGAATATTATACCTCAAGGTATATGTATGATTTGATATTTTTTCCCCAGTAGATAGTAATCAAATCTTAACCTTTATCGGAACCTTTACATCAAAATGACACACGAAAAAATATCGGCAAGTGAACACATATATTTCGAATCCTGAAACAATCAGCAAAGCAATCCCTTATCGGCTACATCAACTGGAAGATGGCTATTTCTGTTTCCGCTACTTCGAACCGCTACTTAAGTTCAGGCTTTGTAATTTACATCTTTTGAACAAAAATAACCCTGTAGATGCACTTAACCGATTTTTAAGCATATATTATTTAGTCAAACTAAGCCAAAAAACTCCTTTGAATCTCTGCATATTGTTTTTGACAGGAAGTCAGGAACAATGTCGCCATTGTTGTTGTCAAAGACTCACTTCGAACCCTGTAACTACAGCTTTAATACACTTCAGGCTTTTTAATTTACATATTTAAAAAAAATAAACCCGTGGATGCACTTAACCGATTTGTAAACCTATATTGGGTCAAAGTAAGCCAAAAACCTTCTTTGAGTGCTTGCGTAATGTTTGAATGCAAAAACTGAGCCGCCATTGGTATTGCCTTTCTTGTCGGCATTGTCGATTATTATGAGTGTTATTGTACTTTTGAACAAGATTGAAAAACTATTGGGCCATAAACTATTTGAAAGTTCTGTAGGGTTGATACAAAACTCAACGCTAAAAACAACCGAAACCTTTTCATTTCTTTTTAAGATGCCTTACCGAAAAGGGTTTTCGATAAGGGTTTTCGATAAGGGTTTTTTTGCGCCGACAGGCTCTGCTGCAGTCCGCATCGCGGATTACGCGCGAAAAAACAATACCATTTCCAGGCTGTACGTCTTTTAGATTGTCTATGGTCTAAGTTATGCAAAAATCGCAGCATAGCCGCAAATGAGAGAGCTTGATAAGTGTCTACCATTAATAGTTCGTGCTTAAGTTGAGCAAACTTAATGAATTAACACTTTTATAAAGCATATTTTGCATATTTTAGAGACATCCCGAAAAAATCAAAATCTAAGTTAGCCTTTCCCCAAATTAATGAAAGTTGTTTTGATAACTTTACTCGATAAGAAGTTATTTTGAATCAAAAATCAGTAATTTTTTGGGACACCCGGTGTAACAAAAAAACATTCACCTTTTCAGGAGTTGTATTTCCACCAATCAATCTGTACGAGATCATGTTGCCATTTTCGTCTGCCGCTCTGTATTCCATACATTTGCTCCAAACACGTTTTGGAAGAGATGTTCTAACCCAGAACCACGTGTAACTATGCTTTTTTAAAGTACCACCATTTTTCGATGTGCAGTCAGGACTACAGTAATGATCCCTGCCGCCAACGGGGCCGAAACATGCGCAACAAATCTTAAAATAAAAGGGAAATTCAAAATTGAACTAACTCTACCAGAAAATAACATGTGTATTGTACATAAGAATATTGGACCTTGGTCTTTCAGTACAAACCTCGCCATAATTATACGGGTTCGATCACTACAAAAAGAGCTTGGTCCGAGAAATCTAGATCTCGATAAAGATCAGGCAAGACATGTTGCTTTATCCAGTTTCATGTAGCTATGTTTTTTTAGTTGCAGCATTTCTGCTGCCATTCATACCTTGTTGGATGAGCAACCGACAATTGCAGTAGCATCATGGTTAACACCTGAATAATTTCCTGACGCAGTAAAACTATATTATCAAAAAGTGTGAAATATTGAAATATATATTATTCAAAAATACTGTTAAAAAATGTCTTCGATTAACCATATTATGCATGTTGAACAAAACGGACCATATTATGTTGACTATAAAAAAATATCACGTTCAATGCATGCAAAAAATTAAAAAATTCAATTCAATATGTTCCCCAATTTGCCCAAATAATATATTATAGTGTAGTTATAACCTATGAAACGAAATCTAGTTCAAGCCAAGGAGTTTAGGATAACATTCCACTAAATTAGGAAAACGTCTGACTTTCGAGTATAGAAATTGTATAACTTAACACCAATTCAGCTCGGCTTAACCTACTTCCCGACCCGTACCCTTATGGTGAAAATTGGCTCATGAGGGCCTGCAATATTTTATTCGTTTTTACCTGAATGAACCATGGAAATCTACTTGAACTTTCCCTGCTGGGTGATCCCAATATGCGAATCCATCTCGACATGGTTTATTTAAGCAAGAATTCATCTTACGCTAAAAAATAGAAGGGGGTTACTTCTTTCGTTTTATATTTTTTCCCACCTTTTCCGTTTATGCATGGTTGTCACCCTAATTTACGTAATTTAGGCAACTGCCTATTTAAAGTATACAAGGAAATTTTCTGTTCGTTTCGACCTAAACAAAGTTTTTTAAGAAAGCACGCGTGTGTTTATTTTAAAATATGATATTGATATTATTAAAAGAAACATGAAGCATGAAGAATTAACTTGGTTCCATGATAGATTGGCACCAACACGTGATATAAATAAATAATGAACACTCTCTATAAACGTTCTTGCTCTGCAGTTCTATTACCGAGTCTTAAAATTTAATCGTCAAGTTGTATCAACATTAAAAATTATTATCAATGTCTATGAATGAATTACAATCTACTTCATTGTAAATCTTGAATTTTCCTTCCAGTGATGACTAACATCAAGAGTACACTAATAACAAGAAATTCTGAACTGTATTTCACACCTACCCATCCAAAGCCTGTCACTGGATGTTGATATTTTCCAAAGACAGAACATCGATATCCTTCGGAAACAATCGTATCAGTCAGTAGATCCTTCACATATGCTATGTCTCCTATTCCTGGTTGATCTTGAGAACACCCTTTGTCTTCTATCATCAGCTCTTTCAAAGGACGTTTTGTTTGCAGTCTAAACGACCTGAAATTTTAAAATAAGTTTAATTTTTTCACGACTCGCTGGGATAAATTTGGTGTGAAAATTTGAACGAACCAGTCTGCTTTTGCTTTTTTCAAGTCTTCAGCTGTACCCATCTGAACTCTAAAATCAAGGATTTGGGCGTTTCCCAGATTGCTGGCCCAGTGTGAATGGCCGTATGGTTCAACAGGAATGTTATTTGATGGCACTGTCCAGGTTACAGAGTTATTTATCCTTCCAACTAAGAAATATCCGCCGCCACCGGTGGTCATATCACAATACACCTAAAAACAATTGATACCATTTTTAAGTAAGTGCAATATTTGAATAAAATAGAAAAATGGAACGAAGTCGTGGTTATTTTACGAGACTATATATCTATCACAAAATATTGCCTACCTTTATAGCATAGTGACCTCCAAGATGTATCCAGTACATTCCATCCTTTGCCTTGGGATTGTTGTCTAATATTTTTGAACAGTCAAAGCCTGGGCTAAAAATTTCTCCATTTGGGTCATCCCCTGAAATTGAAAAACAGTATAATTATGTACATTTCTGTATACTGTGTCAATGGGTCGATAAAAAAGCTATGTTGGAGACTCGGTTTATAGGGCTGCCCATAAATTATTATGTTTGTCTCCTAGTGTACAAACTGTGTCCAAATAAATTAAGTGCAAACCTTCAGGTGATTTCCATTCGTACACGCCCGCATTCTTGACGCAAATCAAGACTTTTTCATTGTTTTTTCGATCTTGAACGAGCACTTGTGCACCGTGATTTGTTTGATTACATTGTCCTGGATCGTAGTCGTTTAAAACAATTAAACCCTGTAAGAAACCCCGAACCCGGCATGATAATAAATAATTATTGATTCAGTTTTTAGTGCATAGTTTCAAACTTTGCAGTCATGTGATGAGTGGCGAAAATTCAAACGAAAGTCATTCAGTCAGTTAGTCATAATGTAAACTTTACGGGGGGTTTTTGATATATACGTGTACTAACTTTTTGTACATGATCAGCTGAACTTGCTTTATTTATCAATGCCCTATCCCTTTTGCTAAGTTCACCAAAATATTGAGGGATTTGACCTTTACTGAGTTGTGTTTTAAAGGATTTGCGCAGAATTTCCTCCCCCCAGAACACCCGATTTTTTTCTTATACGTTGCACAACTGCGCATGTGCCGTCGAGCCTTGAACATTATTCACGATGTAAAGAAACAAGGAGCGACGAGCATTGCTTCGAAACATTCCGGGCGTAAAAATCGAGCAATTCTTTGAGAATCTACGCAATTTATCATGTTATGTTATGAATTACAAGCATTCAATTCAACACAAATATAATTTGGAAGGTTTATTCCATAAATAGAGCTAAGAGGTTAGGAAGAAACGACGCTGTGTTGTTTATATATTGATAGATCTCTTACAGGAATATATATTATGCCGATAGCAAGTCGATACCTGGTATTCTGCATACATTACATATTTGATACTATACAAAACGGACATTTTGTGCATTAGTCAAATCATTTTGGCGGTATACAGTATTGATTATAAGTATATTGTTTTGCATCGATTTACGTGTCGAAGTATCCAAATCATAGACATGCACAGCGGTTTATTTACATTATTTACAACACAACTATTTTGACTATTCTTATGAAATGACGGATAAATTGTTGCCATCACATAAGTGTAGTGAATGTAGTCACAGTTGTTTGACGAAGAAAAGAGATTAAACTGAGAAAATTGCGCCCGATTTACATGGGCAACTAAAATTATAATTTAATAGTGACAGTATCCGCGACTAACGTAACTTGAGTACTTTGAGTAATTTCCTTTTGATTAACCTAGTTCATTATATTTTTACTGGCGTAAGTCAAAATGTTTATTTTGGAAAAACGTCTGGTTGCTTAGGTATTACAGGGCATGGAAACTTTGCACTATCCTTGGATCCCTAGTTATCACTGATTCAAAATGGATGAAATGCTAGTATGCTACATGAGCAATATTAGGGTCTGTTCACACGATCCAATTTTGTGGGATCCAATTCACTTCTGATGGATGTTTTATAGTCTGTTGACTTGCAATGTCTTAAACCAACGCTGTACTACTTTATCAAATTCTGACTTCATTTCATACGTCAGAAATGAATTGGATGCAACAAGATCGGATCACGAGAACAGACCTTTACATTAATGTCGTTGTCACTCGGTATTACTCTTTTCACGTTCATGGAGAAATCATATGCAGTGCAACTTCAAGTAATTTAAAGTTAATTTGTAATTCAGTTGAAGTATTGAAAGTTACTCGAGTCGTGTTTGAACTGTGGCGAATCCAATGTTAGACAAAGTATATTATTGGAGCGTAATTATAAATTCAAAGGAAAAGCACCTGAATATTATTGCCTCGCGCCATTAGTTACGAATCTCACTGAAAGGCTACTTTGGAACTCAAGTCTATACCTATATGCATGGGATTGGCGAATAATAATACTCTAGCAATTGGTTACGAATCCCAAAGGATAGTTTGGAACTCAAAGCCTCCTAGAATTCAATTGGCGAATCGTAATCGCGCATTTGAATAATTATTTGTGACAATTTATAAAATTAATGAGCCGGTTCAGTCCAGTTGATGCATATGTTATCCATCATAATATAACAAGACGATTTTACTTATGTTTCCTAAATCGTGACCTTTTGTACACATTCCAACTTTTTATGCGCGTACTGCTTCACATGAAATTCAGTATTATATCTTCATTTAAAGCTAAGTTCTTTTCTTTTTTTGAACAAATGTTCACATATAGCTTTATTGGGATTTGGGAGTAATGTTTGAAAATGATTTCACGAATGGCAAATGAGAAAAATCAAATCGAACCTCGCTGCATATCAAATATCTGCTGAACAATGCGCCTATACGATTAATGAAAGTCATTCGCTTGATTAAATACTCGTCAGTTTTTCTTTTGATATTTTTGATTTTCTGACAGTTCACCACTGAATTGCCAGAAAACTGGTGATATTTTATGATCGAGAACCGGAATGGCCCAGTGTCAGTGCATGTGTAAAGACGATTACTGAGGCTTAAGCCCCGTTTGCGCTACACTCGATTTATGGGTACCGTACCCATTTCATCCGAGTCCGGCTTTGTCTTGGTCCCATTTTAGCCGTACCTTACCAATAAATCGAGTGTAGTGTAAACATGGGCTTTAGAGACTTCAAGTATTCGACGAGTCTTATTTTGTGTAACGTTAAAGTAAAGTTTATCATCATCGAATACCCTGAGGATGAAGGGAAACATTTTTAAAACATTCAAATAACATCGTTTTCGTGACTCACGTACTATATAGCTGTCGTCAGAGAATAATGCTTTTCGTTGTCACTGCAACATATGGGCATTTGAAGCAGTTTGCGCGAGCATTATTCGCTCACGTATAGCAGTACTTAAGTACCCTAAATAATTGAATAATAGAAATACTTACCGCCTTACAGGACAATATATGGAAAAGAATCAGATATCCGTACAGGAAATCCATGAGTTCTTGTTCTAGAAAATCTTAAGGTAACACAGTGGGATTAAGAATATACACCAGCAACAGCTTTTTATGGTCTGTCGTTGCGTATAGCAAATTATCGTTCGTTAATTAAAGTAGGAGAAGTAGTTTCGCGTTTCACCGACTCATATTCCATAGAAGTGCATGCCCACGCATTGTCAATCACTTCTTTCAAGCCCGGAAGAAAAAGGCGTCAATTCCATTGAAATTTTGGCTTGTGCTTGTTATACCCTGTTCGACAGTCCATTTATAGGATGGAGACAAAAAAAAGGAAAACAAGATGAGAGAAACGAAATGCATAGCCAAAACTATACAAACCAATTGTAGAGTGTAATATAGTATGGGACTGTGGCGGACCCTCGTAGTGGTTAAATAATCTTTTTTATTTCATTCTTATAGCACATAAACAGATACCTTGCTAGCTAATACCCAGTATTGTAAATTTGTTATTCAACCATTTGAAAAAAATATGTCGACCGCCTAGAAGCTGGGCAATCCATGAGGATTAATGTACGTCTTCATCTCAAATTTTCACCTTCGATAAAGCTAAAAAAGGATTTGAAACATAAAATATGAAATATGAAATATGAAATCACCCGGGACCAAAGTGGTTGGTACGAGACAGGCCTCCCGTAGCGTGGCAACCACCCTCCATTGCCCAACAATGAAGCTAACAGTTTGCGACGATTAACAAGTTTAACGAACAGACTTGAGCGTCTGGGTTTAACAAGCAAATACGGGGAGATAATCGAGGAACAAAAATCAGAGGGGATAATCGAAAAAGCTGAGCCGCCAAGTGTAGGAAGAGAATACTACATCTCCCACAAAGCAGTTATTCGACCTGATCATGATGCAGAATCTACAAAAATCCGTTATTCCGCGTTATTCCCCCATTCTCCCATTCCATGTTCCCCCTTTTAAAGATAGCCCCAGGAATATCATTGTAGAAACTGTATTTTCCTTAGATGTCGGACGACCAGAAACCATTTATCAAAAATGTAATTTCCGTAGTTTATGTCCCCCATAGACATGGGGGCGCGCAGTACAGGAATTTTTTTAATACTTTAAAACGTTACGATTCTTTCAGGACGACTGGAACAGGATGCCTTTCGCCGAGGCAAGAAGCACACATTACGTTTCTCACCCTTTGCGCCAGCTGTGGTCCGCGTCCGTTAATATAAATCTACCTCCCCCCGAATGCAACTAAACGAGAACGTTCAGCCTAAAGACAAAAGATGACGTCGTCAAATATGACGCTATAATATTTAGCTAGCCATAAGCGACCGATATTTTGTGTGGAATTTAGCTATGTATTTCTGTAAACTGCGTTTATGTGAAAGTACATTTAAAACCATAAATAGCAGGCATATATTTAATCTTTGCGCGAAGTATTCTCGGTCGAATGGTTATATGATAACCATTGCATTATTATAGGTTATTTTGTTCAAAAAATTTTTACCAACATGCTCAACCTCATAATTATGCAAAAGCCTTTAAAATTTTAAATGGTTTCATTTCTGATTAAAACCTTTCCCGGCTTAGAAGAAATTGTCTTATTATTGGAATTCTGATCGTTTATTCAGAAAGCAGTGTTACTACGGGGAGAAAGCAAACGCGTGGTAACGACTAACGAGGTTTCCAGAAGGTATATATTAATTAAACAGCGAGATGTTAAATGCATGTTGATATGATTTGATCTTAAAGATTAAACCCCGAAAGAGACGAAAGAAAAAATTCAGTTGCCTTTTTATATTCTTTATAACTAGTTAGAAAAACTAACAAAATGAAACCAAAATGTCCATTGATACTGAAAAAATCTGGCATGTATTTCCATGTATTTGTAATGTCAGTACATGAACACTTACACCTTTATCAAACCATTCTTTTTCAACAGTAATATGCTCGCCTTGATAAATTACGATTTTCTTTTACCTTTTAACGACAACATTTTTAAATCCACCCAACAAGAACATTCCCTTAGGGCACCCAAATCAAAGAAAACATGCACCAGCATTAAAATGTTATTAAAAAAAACTACAAAGCAAAGCCTTTGAAAGGATAACAAATATTCGCCTCAAGCTTTTTTAAAATTTGGCTTATTTGTTTATTTTTATTAAACAATGCATTCAACTGCAGAGTGATTATTTGAAAATCTTGAGTCAAGAAGGAACCGGAGTACCCTTAAACCTTCTTATGCACAAAAATATTAAACACACGATTCCCGTACGGCACATCACTGCTGAAACAATGACATTTGTCATTACATTCACATAATATCTTCTTCAGAATTAACTTGGGCTGCATGACAGATTTCGTCCAGGAAGACTAACATGTCAGCAACAGAGATCGTGAACATAAGAAAATTAAATAAGATGCCATAACCAGTACAAATATCATCAGTTTAAATATTCACAATTACCGTCCAGTTTTCCTGCGGTCATAGTTGTCAACATAAATAAAGACAAAATTTGATCTGGCAGAACGGGCTAAAAAGAATATTTATTTAATAAAGTTAAAATGTAATCTCAGTGCATCTTGCGCTGGTTCTAGAAAGAAGCTCCTTCACAGTAGGTGCAGGAGGTATAAGGTAAGGATTTAACAAGCTCGCATCATTTTGTCGCTAAGGAATCTTCAGTATCACTTTATAGCCAATCGGATTGTCTCTTCGTTCTCATTGATATTCAACTATCTCGTCCGTTTAATCTTGGGAATTAGCCAAATGATATGGATGACGTGGTGATTAAGAGAACATCTTGAAATCTTGAAGAACACTTATTCCACGTTTAAAGTCACGTATCTGGCGAATGTGGTCGTTCTTTTATAAGCACCAGGATGAGGAAGTATTGCATTTCAATTTGGCTGTATCACGTCTTTCAAAATCAGTAAAGTGCTCATCAACAATTCTTCAAGTGAAATTATAGTCTAAAGACGAAGCTTTGCATGCTTTAATTGAAGAACACGAAGTTCATCGCGACAAAGAACAGACTGAACAGTGTTCCGGGAATTGAACCCAGTAACCGTGTGTACAAGTCAGCTTCCATTAGACCATTATGTTTTCTATTCTGAGGGCGTTTACGTCAGACATTAAAGTCTACTGGGTTGCAAAAATATTCTATCTTAAACTTTTTATCGAGTATAACGAGACATACTAATTATGCGGATATAAATTATCAACAGAAATGTTTAGCTTTCATGCAATTTTACTCGTGAAAAGTTCAATTTTCGTATGGAAAACCAACCGTAAACACGGTTCCGAACACACGGACACTGTTTTTTTACGAGGGAAACCAGAGTGCCTGGAGAAAAACCCTCACCGAAAGCCGGAATTAAACACAAAGTACACAAGTTTGAGATTTTATTAAAACAAAGTCATGTATTACAACAAAGTGTGTGTGTGTGTGTGTGTGTGTGTGTGTGTGTGTGTGTGTGTGTGTGTGTGGTGTGTGTGTGTGTGTGTGTGTGTTAAAGATATTGAAATCAAGAGAGAGGAGACGGACAATTTTGGTCCTATTTTTATTAATACTTCACTAAACATGTATTACAAAGCGTGTGTGTTTTCTTTACATAGTACATCATTAATATACGAAATATTAAACTATTACATCTAAAACCGGTTAATAAGTAGGTGCGTTTAAGATCTTGACATTTAAATTAATAGAACAGTGCAGCTAGGTTAAATGTTAATTTGGCATACTTTAGTATAAATTGTTCATGTCTTTTTACAGTGTGCTATTGTGTTTAAGTACTGTTTAAGACTGATCAGTAAAACATGCATTAATGTGAGTAAGTGTTTCTAAGTTATCGTGTATTTTTTTGTTCTATTATAGACTTAACCCACTAACTCTGGTAGAGAGCTGAATAAAGTTATGAGATCGACGAACTTAATGTAGTAATACATAAAAATGCCTGAGTTCAGAACGCTTAGATTCAAGTTACGTTCGTCCAAAAACTAAAATTCTGCTGACAAATCATAGGCAGTGTTCCTAATAGTTTCGTTTTAAGCTGTCAAACTGTGCACACATATTTCAAGGATCGAGTTAACTTGTTAAGTTAACTTGAAGATATTTCATGAGTCCTTATAGAAACCGCATGAAGGAATACACAATTGTCCTTGAAAACTTCATTGCACATTTCAGAGCTGAGGCATATAGCCAGAGCATGCTGCCCTTGTAGAAACAAGGTTTGGAAAAAAATACCACAGGAAATTGACTTTATATTTTTGAGGCTGAGGCATATAGCCAAAGCAACAAAATGCTGTACTTGGCATGTCGAAACCAAGTGCAGCATCAATTGTAAATATTTTTTTTTGAAAGAATTCAGTCAACATTTGTTGAACCATGCAAGGGATATTCCCAAAGCAAGATGCCCTTATAGAAACAGCACCTAGAGTACAATTTTTTTTAGAGAAACTGGACTAATACTTTCAAAGCCAAGGCATATAGCCAAAGCAAGCTGCTCTTATAGAAACAGCCACAGGAGTACATTTTTTTCTTTGAAAATCTGGTTTAAAAACTTTTAGAGCTTAGGCATATAGCCAAAGCAAGCTGCTCTTATAGAAACAGCAATGAAAATAACACTGCAACGTTATTAGATATCCCAAGACACCTGCTAATACTTCGAACCACATAGCAAAGTCAAACAGTACAGACAAAAAGCGGCGCCTTACTTTTCATAAGCACTGCTCGACGAAGCTAAATGGTTGGAAATCTCACAGAGACCTTGGAAAAATAATAAAGTTACAATGCCACTGCCAATGTTTGTCTCGTAATTGGTTTCTAACTATAGTAGAAATAAGGCATATATATCGTTTCAAGATAACAGCATGCACCCCCCACCCATTCCTTATTTTCTTCAAGTAAATTCAAACTCATTTGAGAGCATGTGTGTGTTAACTTTAATTGCATAAATTCATGTATTTCAGAATAGCAAGACAGTATAAGACATGCCTGGCGTGAATATTAACTGTAGCCTTAAGTGAATGCAAGAGATAAGAGAGATATAAACTAGAAGCCATAATATATAGGCCATGGTTTGCATCAATGTATTTACTCGTGTGCGTGTCTATTTTATG